GGGGTTTCTTCTTCTCTGGACAATGAGCTAGTTTGGTTACAGCAGGGTTTTGGGTCTAAAACGGTAAAGTCCCAAGTTGTAAGAGCTATGTGGCAAAGGTTGGTTAGTGTGGTGTGGCAAGAAAGGTGAAGTAGGGTGCATTCAGGTCAATGTAGGGACAGTGACGTGTTGTGCAAGATTATACGGGAGGAAGTGATAGGGCTTTTTGGGAGGAAATTATATGATTCCTTTGTATAGCATAGTATACAGGTGAAGGTTTATGGATTGTTATTTCCTAACTAGCAAGGATGTTGCTAGTGCTGCTTTTGATGAAATGAAAGATATACGATTCATAAAAAAAGGTATAAATAATAGGTAGATGAATTGAATCCAACTAATTGGAAGATGTAGTCTTGAACTCATCCAAAGTATGATTGAGTGAAAATATAATTGAAGTTAATCAAAATAAAAGGAATAAAATAACGAGACAAATCGAGATAAATTGGGTCAAGAATGGGGAGCAATAAGACAAGATAGGGTGCAAGTAATACCCATGTTCAACGCCACTCTACTGCGAATTAAATATTACACGCCCGATGCGGCCATCACTAATATTATCATTGATTTACAACATTCTTATTAACGATTCAATTTTTCATTGATATTCATAAATAGCTAATCATGCACTTTTACAGTGACTTCAAATGATATTATTAACGTTTTGTGAACACTCGATTAATGTTTTGCATTGTCGTTCTCAGTGATAAAAAAAATCATAACACTTATTATTCACCATCTTTGACAAACATACTGTACCTTTGTTTCAACCAATCTTCATTATTTTTCTCGACTTTTGGGTTCTTCATTTTCAGTATGTTTTAGGCGGAACCAGTGGCGGACCAAGAAACCTTATTAAGGGTATTCAACAATAAACCAAAATCACTTAGGGTTGTCAAATAGTATAGTGTTTGAATACTATCACCACAAAAACAAAATTTTACAAAGATTTTTTGTCCCAAATTTGAATCCAAGCGTTGTCAATTGACAACCCTTACACTAACTTGGGTCCACCCCTGGGATAAACGGTCTTCCGTGATGTGTTCTTAGTTCGCGCCATACCGATAACCTACACAAAGAATAATCACAAGAAATATTAGTATATATAAAGTTGAAGTAAAGTTATTGTTGCCTAAAATATTATATTTTGATATTCCAAATTTAATTAAATTATAATTTGGTCACTGTAATATATATTTTACATTTTGATACCCCAAAATTAATTTTATAGTTGAAGTCAAGTTTTTTTTTTTACGAAAGTTGAAGTCAAGTTAGTGTTGCCTAAAATATTACATTTTGATATCCCAAATTTAATTAAATTACAATTTAGTCAATATAATGTACATTTTACATTGATACCCCAAATTTAATTTTAATTTAAAATCATTGAAGAATTATGTTTTGGAATCTAAATTTTAGGAGATTTTTGTATGTACATTTTTTTTACATTTACACATATTGGTCCAATGTTTAGATTTCACTTGAATTCATGAATCCAATCCACCAATCGATGAACTAAACACACTTCATTTAGTACGTTTATGGGGTACTAAACACACTTCTATTAACTACATGTAACAAAATATGCGATATCTACATAACCAAGTGTCAATAAATTGCTACGGTGAAAATGGTTGAATGTTGCATTGACGGCCAACTAAAAGAATTGCTCCAAACATTTCCATCATCTACTTCCCCTTCAATTCATTTTTTACTTGCCTTCCATAACCCTTTCTTTATTTCTTTCTTTGCCTTCTTCGTCTAACCCTAATCACAAGTATGAAAGGGTCCATACACGACTAACCAACAGTCTAGAGAATTAATAATTGAACCATGAACCACTAACTTTTTCAGCTCAATGTTGAGTCCAATTAAAAACAAATATATATGTTATTACTTATTAGAAAGTTGTCATTTTCCACTATGGGATTTTAAGGCATGAAAGTTTTACCGAGTTCCAGTTTGTATCTCTTTTGCTTCTCTCTAGAGTTTTTCTTTTTCACTCGTTCTAGATTTTTCAACAATTATACATGGAATTTTCAACAATTATAAATATCAAATATATATTTTTCTATTTCTATAAAAATGTAAGTAATTATCATGTTAAATACATCACCATAAAAGAAATTAAGCCTCGGATATGCAAATTACAGTTGGATACCTAAACTTAATACATCTTTAGATTTATATCCAAAATTAATTTTTTGGCATATAAGTCCTCAAAATATTTATGGAACATAACATTTTAGTACCTATTTTTTTTGTGTCTTACATCTTAGTACCTAAACTTTTGAAGTTATATTAATAGGTATAATTTTTGTATGTGTAATTAAAACATCCTCGAATAAATGGGTATTCATACCCAACTCATATTAATAACCTACCCAAACTCATATTCAAACTTTCAAACTCATATTTACGTCACACATACCCTACCCATAATCAATGAGTCTACTTGGATTTAGGTAAATATCATTTATTAGCCAAAAATTTTAATTTTGATGTTGACCGCCATATATCTATTCTCAATCAATATCATATTGTTAAGTCAGTATTACTAACAAAATTGCTAACAAAAACAAATTTTAGGTTAATAATACTAACAAAACACCATAACGGGCCACATAATACATGCCATAGAGGTATAGACCATCTCCGCCCCACGACAAGGCGGGCCATCGCCACCTAGTATGTTATTATTACAAAAGTAATGCACGGTTGAACAAATTAATTTGCGCCATGGCCTCTTTCATTCTGAAAACTAACATAAAAAAAAATAACATCTAACCGTTAATAACGATAATATAAGTCCTTATCACATCAACATATTCTTTTGATGCGATCATTTTGAAAAGAAAAACTACGATCACATCAACGTATTCTTTTGATTATATTAGCCTAATAACTAACGACCCAGCTAGATAGGATAGGATGCAGCTAATTGCTCATTTGATTTCTATGGGCAACCCGATCGCGCATATGAGGTCCGCGGTTGATCGGCAATAAAAGTCGGTGACGGGTGTCGGTTGCGGAAACCTTTTTTGTTTCTAATTATCTTCTTTTAATTTTATATAATGGATGTTGAAAAAGTTAACCAGGCATTGCTTTTTTTTTTTCTTTTTTTTTCTGAGGTTAAAAACGGAGCATATCGACCGGACGGAGCACCTCTACCGGCGACGGCAGCACCTTTGGGCCTAGCCCATATATAAATGGTTACAGCACAACAATAAACACCACTCACTCACACACGTACATTACTACCATTCCGTTCATTTTTCCATCGTCCGACTACTGATTGACACGATGAAGGCCAACAAATTAGTTGGTGTTTTAATCAGTGTTCTACTCATGATTGCGTTGGTCGTCGCCGTCTTGCCTTCCTCGGTGGCTGCAATCCCATTCCCCCGCTCTGACCACCACTCAGGTTTTCTTCAGTTAATTACTCCTATTTCTTGTACAGTTCTTAATCATAGCTTATTATATATATGTATTAGTCATGAACTTATTAAGAGACTCCATCTTTTGCTGTGATCATGATAATTCAGATTTATTTGATTCTCGAGATCTTTTGGTGTTAGACGAAGCGCGGATCCTCTGCAGAAATCCGGATGCAGAATGCCCCAAAGAATGGTGTTGTTCCTGTCGTTCTTTTTTAACGCCTAACTGCGTATTCTGTTGCTAATAATCGGCTGGTGGAGCGCAAAGTAAAAGAAGCTCATCACTGTCAACACGATGATGAATAATCAAGCCTTACTGCGGCTGCAGTTTACATTTACAAATCCTCTCTATGTACTTTCCCTTTCAAATAATTATTATTGGGCTTTTCCCTTTTCTTAATCTTTGCATTCACAAATCTTGGTGCCTTTGAAGGCTGGGATTTCATGTATTTAACCAACTAATGTCAAAGATTAAATAAATTTTTAGCTAAATTTGAGATAGAATACATGTATTATCTTTTTTTATATGCTCATCTACAATTACTCAAAATAACTCAAACTGAGCAACTATCCGTCTCTACCAAAATGTGAAATTGTTAAAAAGAAATTTTCTACCAAACTTTTTTTAATAACAAAAACACAACTAAACATCCAAACAAAATATTTTGAAAGTTATACATTTAACCAATGTATCAAATTACAATACACAAATTGACTGAATGAATCAATTTGGAGAATCAAAACATTCAAAAATCCATCGTATACTCTCACTTCTAATAATAAAATGATGGGGGAAAACTTGTGTTGTATCCTTTCTTGACAATTTTTTTTTTTATGAATGTGTGGAGTGTGCTTATATGCCACCTGACATCTTTTAACTTGTCAAGAATGAGGGATAAACCTTACATCACAATAATTTAATTCTTTAAATGATACGACGTTTTTAATGCACCTATATCTATGTGCATTGTAGTTGTTGACATGATTTATCAATTATTAAGATATATAATGCATATTTTGTTCTAGAAGTAACACCAAAAATAAGGAAAATTTTGCAAATGCACATTAAAAAAGTTGGAACTTATACACTAAAGGATCATGTTAAGACGAGAACCCTTGAAAAAGTGTGAGAGTGTCTTGGTTTGAGATTCTTACAAGCCAACATGTAGACAACAACCATGGGTTGAAGGTTACTACAAATTTCAAGAACTAGCAATTGGTACAAATTTAGTAAATAAAATTTAATAGGGTTAATATTTTCGTATGGCCTGAACTTTGACGAAAATAAACATCCTGGACAATCTTTTCGATCTATAACATCCTGGCCCGAACTATACACCAAAATAAACAATTTGGCCAGATCTGACTTTTGACCGTTAACTTGGATGGTCAAACGCGTTGATTAACGGTCAACGCGCCACGTCACTGCCAAGTCAACAATTTTCACTTAAATTTTTGAAAAAAAAAACAAAAACAAAAATTAAACAAAATAAAAAACAAAAACCCAGAAAAACCCATTAAATTAACTCAAGATTTATTGGAATTTGGGGCATAAAGGGCGAACCTTTTCTTGGAGCAATGGCAGCGGTCAGAGGAGGAGCCGCATCTGACGTCATCCATGGAGCTGCACTTTCTCTTGAGGGAGGAGGAAGACAAGGGAGGCTTCCCGTGAGAGGGCAGGGTGAACTGAAACTCGGAGGACGACATAGATCTCTGCATACTGTCTGTATCCCCAGTCAGGGAGGACATGAACGAGGTAGTAGCGGCTAAAATCGAAGGCGAATTCGAGAAATTGATGGTAGAAGACGGCACTAATTCGTTCCTCTCCTTCGCCACCGCGACCGCCGCCGCCTTCTGGTGGTGGTGGTGGTGGTTGGTCGGCAAGGGAGGCAGCCGGTGAATCGTTTTCGGCTGGTAGACCTTGAACGCCGAGCCACCGGAAACAGAGCCAGACCCTTGTTCCGTCGTCGGAGGAACAATCACTGGAGCAGAGTAAGAAGACGGCCCCGGCTGATCCTGAACGATCTTCTTCCCCTTCGGAGGACCGACCGCCACGGCGGCGGCGGAGGTAGAATCAGAAGCAGAAACAGAAACAGGGGCTCTTCTGAATCTGGCGTGACCTATTCGATTCGGCTTGCCGAGGAGAGAAATCACCTTCCTGAAATTGTTAACAGCCAAATCCGTAACTGCCTGGATGTGAAAGGGATAGCAGACGACAGCGGGGAATGAAAGGGATCAGAGAGGAGATGAAGGCTTTATTTTTTATTTTGATTAATTTTTGTTTAACTTTTTTTTGGCGTTCAAAATGTATAAAAAAAATGATAATAGGTGGAAATTGTAAAAAAAATTATGTGAAAATTGTTGACTGGGCAGTGACGTGGCGCGTTGACCGTTAGTCAACGTATTTGACCGTCCAAGTTAATGGTCAAAAGTCGGATCTGGCCAAATTGTTTATTTTGGTGTATAGTTCGGGCCAGGATGTTATAGATCGAAAAGATTGGCCAAGATGTTTATTTTGATCAAAGTTCAGGCCATACGAAAATATTAACCCTTCATTAGCTATACCTTTCAGAATTTTCAATATTTTAACCAAATATTTTGTATTAAATCTTTTTTCACATCAAAATATTAATCAATTTTCATTTATTTTAATAATTTTTTAAATATTTTCTTAATTAATTTTTGTAAAGGTATAACTATTAAATTTTGCTAACAAAAATGCTAACGGGGAGTTAACGTTTGGCTAATACTTTGTATTTTGAAGTTATGGCTGATAATTTTAAAGTTTGAAAGATTTGGTTAATAAATTGTATTTACACTATTGTATAAAATACTAAATTTGAGTGTTTTGATAGACAAATTATGACATAAGACCCTCAACAGATATTTAACACATAAAAATGAGTCAAAATTAGATAATTTGATCATCGTAAGGAGTATGGCGTATGTCAAGTTTCACTTGGGATAAACACATTTTATCCAATAATCAAGTATTTCTATCCAATAATTTGGACTCTTAATAATTGTTTGAGAGTTTGTCCTAACTCGAGAATCACGAATTGTTCTATAAATGATGAAATGAAATTTTTCGGCCAAGTGTAAAACTAGTTTTGCTATATATGTGTCAAGATTCAAGATTATATGCATAACCATTAATCAATTCTTTTCTAATTGGTTTGTATCTTCTCCTTTGAAAGTAATTTATCTTACGAGTTTGCTACCATGACATCTATGACTTGTAGTAAATTCAAATAAATCTTACCTGGGTATTCGGTAGACTCAATTGGTAAGGTCGATCATATTGACAGGTTAGTTCGGCTATAAAGTTGCTCATGTCCATCACATTCTTAATCAAGTCGACCATAAGGTTAACTAGGTTTGAGTACTTTATTTTTGAACATATTAATGGTTTGAGTGCTTTATTTTTTACTATATTAATGGTGTAATTTTGTGTATCACTAAATTAAATAACGCACCTATGGTATATAGTCCATGAAGAATAATTATGCATTATGATAACTCACTTGATTCGCTTTTTATATAAAGGGTTATAGTAGTGTAGGAACCAATTTCTGGTAGTTTTCCTACTCCAAAATTATATATTGGGCCAAGCATCTCCCACGATCATAATTTTAAAATTGGTCGAATTTCAATTTAATAACATCAATAGAGGAAAACGGTTTTGAAAGTAATTTTCCTTAGGAGTTTGCTACCATGACATGTAGTAAATTCAAGTAATCTTACTTGGAATTTGTTGGGAGCTTTCAGTAGATTCCAAAGTTGGTTAGGTCGACCATATTGGCCAGTTAACTTGGCTACAATTGGTTAGATCCATCGCATTGTCAGTCAAGCCTACCATAAGGGTCAATTATAGGGGTTGACTACTTCTATGAATATATTAATGGTTAATTCTACAAAGTTATAGTTGTTACATCATTACAGGTAGCTAGGGGGCATTGGATACTTCGTAACCTTTGGATCAATGGAGGTCGAATTGTAAATATCAAAGGACGCCGATGACGCAGTAGGGGAGAGTTTTTCTTCTCAGAAAGCCTAATCAAATATCTATAAACAGGGCTCTAAAGCTAGAGTTTGAGAAGGGGAGGCGAGAGGTCAAGGAAGGATCATTACCCTGCTTACATATTATTATTACCCTCCTAACTTAGAGCTACATCACCTTCGAGGGAGAATTGGCGCCATTGGGCCTGATTTCTATGTTATGGCTTTCGTTTCCATGATGAACATCCAGGAAACCCTCCCTATGGTCGGCTAAGTTGCTTAGTTGCGTAGGTATGTGAACCCTAGGGGTTCTACCCATGTAAACTCAATATTTTGGTTAATACAATTGTTTGATTTTCATACATGTTATACTTGATTTCCTCTATTTTTATATTTGTTGATTCGAATGATTGCTTAGTTGACCTTAGACTCCTTCGAGGTGTAAGGATCAAAATCCTAATCGTTTATTATGGATTTAGAAATAGTAGTCCTACTCGATCAAACGTCATTCAATCAAAGAACGTGACGCCTCAAGTGAGAAATTCGAAGCGTCATTGCTGCCCATTAGTTCAGGAAAATGCTTCGACATAAGCTGAGATATAACGGAATAAAAAATCGGCAGCTCCTATGCTTCGATCATCGTGGGTGCGTGGTTAGGATACCTAGGAGGGAAACATTGCCTATGCAACGCTTTCCTTCTCTGCTCTCTCACTTCCCCAGTAGTGTAGATTTATTTTCTAGTCCACTTTACTTTTCGAACTCATAGGTTCTGCAAAATTGGAGGAATCTCAACCTCCTAAATCAACCTCTTCTTTAATAGAACCGTATCTCGCTTCCGAACTAAGGGTATCGCAAGAGACCCGAGAGAATACAATCCTGGCCTCTATAGGGCGAGTTTGTAGCGAACTACAATCGATGACCACATATCTTGTCATCTTGAGACTAAACCGCGTAGATTCAAGTGTTGTGTGCTTAATATTCTTTCGTTATCATTTTCTTCGTAGATAAATTTCTTTCCCAAGTATTAGGTCTCACCCATGTTAAGTCAATACACTACAGGAAAAGTGACTTTATGCAACACTCGTTCTGCAACACTTTTTAAAAGTGTCACATAAAATAGATATATGCAACACCTTCATTTTGTGTTGCTTAATATAAATCTTATGCAACACAAATGAGCCCCACCATAATTTTTGTTACATATTGTTAATAATATGCAACATTTGTACAATAAAATAACTTGTGTTATATATTCTTCTATTTTAGGCAACACTTAACAAAAAATGTTACATATTGTACCAATACCCGTAGAGGTCAAGACAATTGGGTTGAATTACCCGTGAAGTTAATTCATTCACAATTGCACCTATGATTTAAGGTAAAATTGATGTTCCTTCCTATTCCTAATATATTATACCATATTCCTTCATTTAGTATCTAAATTATGGCATTTTTAGAGCTCAATCAAAGTCTCTTTCATGTAACTTAAAAAGTGAGATGAATTAATGGTCAAAATAGGTAAAAACGAATAATTTTCCTGATTTTAATTTAAACCCCAAAATGACCTACAAATTCAACTCGCACACATGCGACCTTTGACATGTCAAAAATGAAAAGAAACTAGCTTTTGTCCAGCCCAAAAACAGAACAGAGTATACGTTTGACAGGCTCGCATAGAAAAACCCAAAATCACAAAAGCAAAAAAAAAAAAAAACCTTTACCTTCTGGTCATTGGAAAGGACTCGTCCCACATAGTTCTTCTCCGACCTGTTCCTGCTACTCGCGGCGGACGATTATTTGGCTTTGATTTTTTCTTCTCTGAACTCCCGCTACTTTCCAGCATAGTAGCTGAAAAGGAAAAAAAGAAGGGGACTAGATACTATAACAACACTCATTTTGTTGTTATTGTAACAACACTAGTCTCCAACCAATAGGAAGCTAGGATTGTGATGACTTTTTATTAGATGAGTTGACCTAGTGTAAAATCAAAGCACGGGTATAATTTTCATTATAAAAAATATATTTAAATAATAATAAAAAATTAAAAACAAAATTAAAAATTAAAAAAAATATTTTTTATTTTCGGCCCAAAATTTTGGTCGCCGGAATCTGGTCGCCGGTCACCGGAATATGCTTTTTTTTTCGCCGGAATATGCTCACCGTGGTCGGAATATGCTTACCGGCGTCGGAATCTAGTCATCGGGGCCGGAATATGCCTATCAGCGCCGGAATCTACTCACTGACGGTTATCGGAGTTTGGTCAACTGTCTTCGTTGACCGGTCAATGGTCTTAGTTGACCGGTCAACGACCAACGGATGTTATGGTGTGCATTGTGAGATTTATGGTTTGGTTTCTCATATTTTTGTATATCTTTTGTGGTTTGCTTTATCGTGTTTGTGGTTTGCATTAAGAAGTTTCTGGTTTGTTTTATCGTGTTTGTGGTTTGCATTGAGAAGTTTTTGGTTTGCTTTCAAAAATTTTGTGGTTTGCATTGAGGGGTTTCTGGTTTGTTTTAATATATTTGTGGTCTGCATTAGGACGTTTATGTTTTGCTTTTTTGTGGTTTGATTTACTGTGTTTGTGGTTTGCATTATGAGGTTTCTGGTGTGCTTCGCAAATGTTGTGGTTTGCTTTGTTAGGTTTGTGGTTTGTTTTAGGAGATTTGTGGCATGCATTCGGAGGTTTCTAGTTTGCTTTATTGTGTTTCTGGTTTGCATTAAGAAGTTTATGGTGTGCTTTCGAAAATTTTATGGTTTGATTTGTGGGGTTTTTGGTTTGTTTTAATATATTTTTGGTCTGCATTAGAAGGTTTGTGGTTTGCTTTAGCATGTTTGTGGTTTGCATTATGAGGTTTCTGGTGTGCTTTCGGAATATTTGTTGTATGCTTTGTGGGGTTTTTGGTTTGTTTTAGGGGATTTGTGGTATGGATTGAGAGGTTTCTGGTACGCTTTTTGTGAATTGTTTTACCGTGTTTGTGGATGGCAGGTTTATGAGTGCATTATAAGTAACAATATCTCGTCCAAATCCAAAAGTTTGCATCTCCTTGTAGACGTCCAGAGCCTCCTCAAGCTTACCAAGGTTAACATAAACTGAGAGCAATGGTTGTACAAAACTCTATCCAACTCAATCCCCTTAATCTTCATTTCATTAAACAACAACAGGGCATCATTCAATCTACCAGCTTTAGCATAGTACCCAT